AGCGTGGCAACAATTGTGAGGTTGGCCCAGGACTGGGCAGTTTTTCATTCTGTTGTGCATAGGATCACTATGAGTCAGTACTGACTCAATGGCACCTAACAACAACAATTGTCCCCAGATCTGCAGAACTCGTAAAGTCTTCCAGATCAGTCATAAGAACTATCCTAACCAATCACTCTGTTCCAAGCTGTACTTTGGTCTTGACAGACTAACGCCCGTTACCAAAAGGGCCTACACAAACTCCTTCTGGATTGGATGCCCTGAACACAGACAATCTGTAAGCTTATAGGAACTACATCTAAAGCCATGAAAGAACACTACTGTCTCATGACTCCCTGACCCACCTCATGAGCTCCTCCGGTGGCACGAACACACCCAGAATTTTCTCCTTTATGGGTCCAGTTCCTACCCTAGTTCTTTTCCTTTCATTGGTTTTCTTAGTTCATTCTTCTTCTATTTCTCTAACCCTTCCCAATTTTTTTTTATACTTTCTATCTACACTTTTGCTTCTTTTTTTTTTTTTCTGTTTCTTTCCCCCACTACCCCCAGCTTTCACAAACATATGGGTTATTGAAAATGCCATGGCTTGGGTCAGGGGCACTTTAGTCCTCAAACTGATACCTTTGCTCTTAGCACTTTGAAGAGGTCTTGCACAGCAGATTTGCCGAAGGCAATAAATACATCCTCTGATTTCTTGATTGCTGCTTTCATGGGCATCTATTATGGACCCAAACAAAATTAAGTCTTTGATAACTTCAATCTTTTCTCCATTTGTCATGATGTTACTTATTGGTCCAGTTATGAGCAATTTTGTTGTTTATATTGAGGTGCAACCCAGATCAAAGTGGTCTTTGATCTTCATCAGTAGGTATTTTAAGTCCTCTTCACTTTCAGTAAGCAAGGCTGTATCGTCTTCCTTCAGTATCATTGGCTCTTGATCATATGCTATCTCTTGAAATCATTGAATATTGACCATTTTTAGGGACCCAAATTACCACTGACACCCACCCATCAAAGTGGGAGCTTATAGTGGTCAGATGATAGAGGGGGGTCTTAGGTCTAGGATGACACAGTGAGCCCAGTTGTTTCATGGGCCCATCCTGTGGTTATTTCTGTAATCAATCAAGTATGTGAATTGACTTACATCTGGAAACTAGATGAGGGACATAATCTCCATGTGGAGACTGAAGTCAGGATTTTGATTCCCAGACGTAAAGTTTTTTGTTCAGAAACCCTATTTCATTTATCAACTTCTTGGGTGGTTCAAAGAGTTAACCTGCTGTACCAATAACAGGAAGACTGGAGATCAGA